GTTTTGGTAATATTACTGTATAGATATTTTGATAATATTGCTGTATAGATGTTTTGAAAATATTGATGTGTAGATGTTATGATAATATTACTGTATATATGTTTTGGTAATATTACTGTATAGATGTTATGGTAATATTGCTGTATAGATATTTTGGTAATATTGCTGTATAGATGTTTTGGTAATATTGCTGTATAGATGTTTTGATAATATTGCTGTATATATGTTTTGATAATATTGCCATATAGATGTTTTGGTAATATTGCTGTATAGATGTTTTGATAATATTACTGGATATATGTTTTGGTAATATTGCTGTATAGATGTTTTGGTAATATTGCTGTATAGATGTTTTGGTAATATTACTGTATAGATGTTTTGGTAATATTGCTGTATAGATGTTTTGAAAAAATTGATGTGTAGATGTTATGATAATATTACTGTATAGATGTTTTGGTAATATTGCTGTATAGATGTTTTGATAATATTACTGTATAGATGTTTTGGTAATATTGCTGTATAGATGTTTTGGTAATATTGCTGTATAGATGTTTTGGTAATATTGCTGTATAGATGTTTTGGTAATATTGCTGTATAGATGTTTTGGTAATATTGCTGTATAGATGTTTTGGTAATATTACTGTATAGATGTTTTGGTAATATTGCTGTATAGATGTTTTGATAATATTACTGTATAGATGTTTTGATAATATTGCTGTATAGATGTTTTGAAGATATTGATGTGTAGATGTTATGAAGATATTGATGTGTAGATGTTATGATAATATTACTGTATAGATGTTTTGGTAATATTGCTGTATAGATGTTTTGAAGATATTGATGTGTAGATGTTATGAAGATATTGATGTGTAGATGTTATGATAATATTACTGTATAGATGTTTTGGTAATATTGCTGTATAGATGTTTTGAAAAAATTGATGTGTAGATGTTATGATAATATTACTGTATAGATGTTTTGGTAATATTACTGTATAGATGTTTTGGTAATATTACTGTATAGATGTTTTGGTAATATTGCTGTATAGATGTTTTGTTAATATTGCTGTAAAGATGTTTTGGTAATATTGCTGTATAGATGTTTAGGTAATATTGCTGTATAGATGTTTTGGTAAGATTGTCGTACATGGTGTATCAAGGTGAATAAAATAGCCCAACAATGGACCACATTAAGTGACATCACTATTTCTCAGAAAGTGGAAGGGTTTATATTTATTTGCTTGGTGACTGCTGCTGTAAGAAACAGATTCGTTACTTTCATCTTGGTTCAATTTTGAACCTTTTAGATGGTTTAACACTTATCAAAATGTACATGTTTCAAAGAATAAGGCGAATACTTCAGGTTGAATATTTTTCAATTTTTTCATAATTTTTGTCTAAGTTATGCTTGAGTGATAGCCGATCGTAAATAAAATGAAAAATATCAAAGGGCATTACATCGTATGTATACAAATACACCAATACCATATAATTACACCTGAAATAACAATTAAAACGTAACTTTTATAAGACTGGAAGGCTTGAGTACAAATAGGGGGCAGATTGACTTAATTGGGATAATAAAGACAATTCCACCAATCAAAAATCTTGTCCAAAGAAAGGCGAAATCGGGAGTAAAGGTAGTATAGTAGTGGACTCCTCCAAAGAGGTTGTTTCGAAAGCATGAACTGCTTAGCGCACGACAACCGCCACTACAATGGAAATGTCGTGGTTTAGATTCCAACTGTTTGAAGTGATGGAGGGTTTGATGGGGCTCTCACTAGCTAAAGTTACTACTTTCATTGTTATATTTGCGTCCAAAATGAAATAATGATACTTTAAATACCATTATCGTGCTACGGACAACGCCAATTTTAACAAAAAGTATTTATTTAAAGCTTGTATGTGGGTTATTATTTTAAATAATGACACAATAATAAAGTAGAAATGAGAATATATAATCATGAAAACTACAAAAAAAGAACAAAACAGAACAATTATTGTGAATTATAAAGCGTCACTTCAATTGACTGACGTATTTTTTTAAAGGAGATATTAATCGTAATCAAAACAAAAATTTCGGTAACGAGGTACATTTCTTTAAACTTAAATCTACCCGCTTTCTTCCTCCTGAGTCCAAAGTGCATCACAAAAAATAACAAGAAATTCGTCCTGTTCTCAAGGCCCGTAATTAAGTATGTATTTAATATGTGAACACTCTTGTGTAAGCAACCATTTTACTACTAGCTGTAATGAAACAAATGAAATCCAAATGGTCATTCTTTTGTAATAGAAAAATGTTTGGGCTTTGGTTTACTGCACTTGTCATCCATGATCTGACAAAATTCTTTTTGAAATCTTATATTTGACAATAAAGTGTCTGTGACTATCACCGATCAAAACCACACTGGCCAATTGGCAATGCAAATTTAGCAGATCCTTCATATGTAATCGTTAAAATAATGAAAGGAGAATTTGATTGGTTGAAGTATCTAATGTGTTCAATAACAATTTGGTCAGATCGTGAAAGATCAGTGGAGTCCACTAAAGAAAAAAAAACAAGCAATGAATTGAAGGAAGGTGTGTGAATCGGATGATAATAAAAAACTACATTTTTGTGGATAAGATCTACCACATTCTTCATTCATGATTTCGAGGATTTTTTTCTTTTGAGTGCTTTAAGACGAAATTTTAAAACCAGGTGTAAATTTCTCAGATAAATGGCAAATGTAGTACCTACACTAAACATTGAACTGTGCACAATAGTAAATTTAATAATCAAGATATGACCGCGTAAAGCTACGATTACATGTGTAAACGTAAGCATAACTCAAGCTCAAACACAAGCTCAAACTCAAACTTAAAACGTGATTACATGGGTACGTCGTACGTACGATGACTCCGCAAAACCGTCATTGTAAAAAGGAAACCGAGTGGTATTGGGTCGGTAAAAAAGGAGGAGAGGAAAGTCTCCAACAGTAATGATGTCATAAAGGGGATCAAACTATCCGTAGTCGTCTGCAAACGCAAAAATCTCCCAATGAGCCACCCGTTGCGCTTACGGAGTCGTTGAGTTTGAGTTTGAGGACACATGTAAGAAAATTGGATATGCTAAGGATTTGGATAGGATTTGCTCTGGTCCGTTTTTTATTGAGTTTGAATTTGCGTACACATGTAATCGCAGTCTTAGTCCTATAATATACACATATAAGTATACACATATAAGTGTATGTAAATTAGAACATGTAACTGGTGTGCGAAAATGGCTACACCTTGAAAAAATACCTAATCTTACCGAGGAAAGTTGCACATGCACTTAAAGGGATTGTAATCTAACTATAAGCGTATCGGGGTCACAAATAGAATCAATTTGCACCATTCCAATTCTCAATCAGGCGTGACTAATCGCGAAGGGCAATGTGATATTTTCCATTAGTGATGTCATCAAACATTTAGTTTTAGTGGAATTTCAGAAACCACAGACGCCTGATCGAAAATTGGAATGGTGCAAATTGATATTATCAGTGTTCCCAATACACATACAATCCCTTTAAATAAAACACAGAAATCATCGACTCCCATTCAAATACTAGGGAATAGACGAGATACGGTGTACGATTCGGTGCACGGTCCCGTATCTTCGTGTGTTCACTTCTTCTATTTTCAACTGTATCGATAATTCCACACAAGACCTGTATTCGCGGCTTAATACCTCATTTAAATCTATTTTTCATAATACATGTATATAGTTAACTAGCATGGATAGTTACCAACGGTTTCATTGACACAGAACAGACTATTATGAGATTGCATGAGTGGTTGAAAATCTTCTAATTAATCAAGAATTTTTACACATAATAATATAACATAGACGATCTGGACTAAATTACAATAATATTCAAATACAAGAACAAAACGATATATGGTCAAAACAAACACATTTTATGACGAAGTAAAAGTGGATAACAATTACAAAATTTCAAAATATAACAAATTAGGGTAACAAAGATACATTTCAATACATGTTTCCGTAAAAAGTGATTCGATAAAACGCAAAATATAAAATACAAAACAACTGCTCCATGTCAACATTTTGATGGTGCAAAACAACATAAAGAACTTCCTAGGATTTCGACCTTGACTACGGCGAAGATAGAAAGATTTCTAAATGAATAAATTATCAGACGAAAATTACACATTACGAACTACATGCTTGCCATTCAAGTTTCGGCAACAATTTGACAAATTGGCGGTTTAATAGCTTTACTGCAGTGATATATATCTTTCAGCAAAAGTTATTACCCCGATCTATTGGAATAATTTTGATCGACAAACTGTGCCAAGTAATATATGCCAAAAATAATCTACTTCATACCTAAAAGATCACGACTTGTTGAAATGAAACCGCCAATAACCCTTCAGGCAGCAGACCTATATTCCCGTCATTGAAACCTAATTACCTCCCTTGACGTCACAATTTCATACGTCATTGTTTATTTACCCATTCAGTGAGCATCGGAGGCCTAGACATGTGGGGAAGGTCACAACAAAAGAATAATTTATTGTACTTTAACTTTCCAAAATCGCGTTTGATGTATTCTCCACCTTCTTAGATAAGAAAATACTCCGGGGGAAGTCAGAGGCTATTCAAAAAACTATAAGACATCACAATAATACATGTACACGTTCAAAGGATAAACCGATTTGTGCGAAAATATCAGATATCCTCAATGGAAACTGTTATTGCACGACTCCTTAGTTACATTTTCCCTTAATATATACAGATTCTGTCCCCATGGGATCTTTCACCTTACAACTTGGACGGCAAACATCATAAGATCTGGCTCTTTTCAGTCACAAATCCCGAATCACCTTCAGCTATGCTTTATCTACACAAGATATTATTACTCAAAGCATTTCTTCTTCCAGCTTGCTTCTCTCCTTATACACAAAATGTTGGTTTTTCAAAATAAAAACACTCTGTCATCAAAGTGAAGAATTTCAATTATCTTTTATAGTTTGTTTAATCCATTTTAAGAAACTCGATACTTTGGTATAAATACCATATTTTCCCTTTCTGCCACAACCTTCCCCATAACTCGTAACACCATATATAAACCATCTCTGTTGACCTTTAACAGTCTTAGAACACATCAATGGTCCCCCACTGTCTCCAGCACAAGAATCAACCCCACCCTTTTTATACCCTGCACAGACCTGAGTTCTACCAATTTCATAGTCAAAAACACTCTGACACCTCTTCCTGTTCACAATAGGAACCCTGGCTTCCTGTAAAACATTGGAACCATAAATATGTGTGTTTCTAGTCTTTCCCCATCCGATAGTATAACACAGAGTGCCTTTTGGAAGCCTGTCCCGTTTAGCGGGTAAACAGGCGATTCCCAGTCTTTTGTTTGTCACTGGTTTCTTAAGTTTTATTAAAGCAATATCATTGGTTATTGTGGAATAATCGAAATCGGGATGAGGAAAATCTTTTTCAGGAGAAATTGTTTCTTCTATGTGGCCTTCTCCATTTAAATCATGCTCTCCAACCTTTAATAATACTTTACGTTTCCGACCTTTCTTGCGCACACAATGAGCAGCTGTTATTGCCCATTGAGGCGCTATGAGTGTCGCTCCACAATATTGTTCTTTCCATTTAGTCATTACAGCTACCTGAAATATAAAATCAAGAATATGTAACGAGTGATTTAATCAGGGCGTAAGTGATACACATAATTTTTTTGCACGTGACACTTGTACGATTTTTTGTCATACAATCATTAGGCGTGCCATTTCGAAGCTTGGTTGTCACCGTGGAGCGCAGAGTTTGCAGCCTGTTCGCACACTGTATACGTAATTGGGACAAATTGCCACGCAATGGTACTACATCATACGTTAAGTACTGTTTGTGCATTGACACACACCGTCGACAGTGTTTGCGCCGAATTTGCGCAGTGTTCATGAAAGTGGCATGATAGGAAACCCATTGGCTGCAAACCCAAGTTCACGGAGACTTCGATCATTGACATGTGTCATGCTTTTATCGACAACTAACAATTTGTCTGTGGTAGCTACCAGCCTGACCTATAATAAGCATAATTCATATATTATTTCCTTACAAGATTAAAGTATGAATGATAACAGCAAGGTGTCATTATATTATGTTCTTACAAAGTTGTAGTATGAATTATTTATTATTATCAACGTATTATATATCACGTTCTAACAATATTAAAATGTGAATAATTTATCAACAGTAAAATAACAGTACTATAAATTATATCATGTACTCAAGATCAAGATTATAGGCGTGATTGACTTGTCAGAAGCAAGTTACTATTATTACATCATGTTCTTACAATGCTATAGTATGAGCCATGTATCAATTGCAAGATGCGCTGAATTACAAATGATTTATTGTTAAGGCCCTGTCATACCGGACTACGACCATTTGTGATCTTACGGCGACTAAAACGTACTTGGTCGCCGGCAAACGTGAAGAAAACGCGAGAAAAAATCTACAATTAACTGTCGCTATCAACCTGCGATATACGCAGGTGCACCTCTTCTTAAGACCATTCATGGAGATGTTACGACGCTTGTCTAAATCCATTCTTGATTCCGTGGCGATAATTGGTCTCAATGGCGCCCATCGTAAGGTATCTGGCGCTTCCTTCACGCTCATACCAAGCTAATTTTCCGTCGCCGCAGCCGCCCAGTAAGGACGCTTTCTGGTGTCGGGGCTATTTGCAAGATACTGTCATATCATGTTCTTCCTTGATTGTAGTATGCATGAATAATCATCAGCATTTTTTACTTCGTTGAAGAACAGATGATTTATCAACAGCAAGATTATGTTATATTAAGTTTTTACTACGTTGAAGTATGGATGATTTATCAACAGCAAGATTATGTTATATTATGTTTTTACTACGTTGAAGTACGGGTGATTTATTAACAGCAAGATTATGTTATATCATGTTTTTACTACGTTGAAGTACGGATGATTTATCAACAGCAAGATTATGTTATATCATGTTTTTACTACGTTGAAGTACGGATGATTCATCAACAGCAAGATTATGTTATATCATGTTTTTACTACGTAGAAGTACGGATGATTTATCAACAGCAAGATTATGTTATATCATCATGTTCTAACTGTACGTTGAATTATCGGGGATTCATCAACAGCAAGATTCACATATATCATGTTTTCCTAAACGTTGAAGTAGGGTGATCAACAGCAAGATTCTAATATATCATGTTTTCCTATACGTTGAAGTAGGGTGATCAACAGCAAGATTCTAATATATCATGTTTTCCTATACGTTGAAGTGGGGTGATCAACAGCAAGATAACTAATATATCATGTTCTTACTATACGTTGATGTATCGGGGATGCATCAACAGCAAGGTAACTAATATATCATGTTCTTACTATAAGTTGATGTATCGGGGATGCATCAACAGCAAGATTCTAATATATCATGTTTTCCTATACGTTGAAGTAGGGTGATCAACAGCAAGATAACTAATATATCATGTTCTTACTATACGTTGATGTATCAACAACAAGATAATATTGTTCTTATACCATTGGAGTACTTATTAACAGCAAACTGCTATCATATTATGTTCTTACAACGATATAGTATGAATCATTTATCAATAGCAAACTAAATTTGAATCATGTATTTTTGAAGGAATATTTTTTTATCAGTAAAGATATAATATACAGGTATATATATATATTATATTTTAACAGCATTTTAGTCTGAATATTCTTATATACTGTATCTAATCATGTTCCTATATTAGTAGTAGCGTGTTCTTAATGCATTTACCAACATTCGGGTATGTAGCATGTTCTTACACGTTTGCAGTATTAATTAATTAACAGTGTCAAGTATTAGTATCATGTCCTTACTGTATTTACTGTAATAGGATGTATTATGTTCTTACAGTGTTACTTAACAGTATCATGTTCTAACAACATTTTCTAACAATTGGATAGTGTGTATCATGTTCTTACAGTGTTAAAGCATTAATCAGTTCAGAATAGAATCACGTACTATAGTATTATGTTTTTACTGCATTTACTTCAATAGGATATTGTCTATCATGTTCTTACATTTTTTCAGCATTAATTAATTAACAACAGTATCAAATACTAGTATCGTGTTTTTACATCATGGCATTTATTTCTTAACAACAATATCATGTTCTTACAGTTTTGCCGTATTAATTACTTAACAACAGTATCAAGTACCGGCAGCATGTTCTTACTACAATAGGGTGTATCGTGTTCTTACATTGTTGTAGTATTAATTATTTTCTTCTCATTATCTTCTTATAACATCTACTAAAATGGGATAGTGTGTAATATGTTCTTACAGTTTTGTAGCATCAGTGCAATATCATGTGCTTAATAGTGTTCTTACATGATTATTAACTGGAATATTAAGTATGATGTTCTTACAGTGTTGTAGGAATACTTAGCCAATAATCACTTTTGTAGACTGCCGTGGTATGAATGCTTAATTAATTGTGAAGTATTATGACGATCTCGTGTTATTTAAATATTTCTACTAATATACACATTGTTGGTAATGATTTGTTAAACTATCACGTTTTGTGGTATTTATTATTCATTATACATGTCTTGCTAATTGATACATACCAGATTCTATTTGATATATTTTCAGGTATTATTTTATGAGATAGATACATTAAAAACATCCACAACAAGATAACAAAAATGTATTGAAAACCTCAATGTAGTGTCTAAAACGTCAAATTCCACATACTTTAGGAAAATATTCTTTTTTAATTTACCGAAAATAAAACAGTTACATGAAAATTGTTTGTTTAATTTAGTAGTCGATCTATATATAAAGTCTTATAATTTCTCAAATGTAAATACACTATGTTAAGATGTAATAAAATTGGCGGCATTCCAAATCAGTGCAGGTTTCAAGGCTGTCTTACACATTAGCACAGATATAGACCTATACAATTCAAGATCAGTCCATTGTCTGAGATTAAACAGACTTGACATTTTTTGAACAAAACCTTTCGGTGCATCGAAACCTGTTATTTGCTTGTTGAGAGCCCAAATTCCGGCTGATTTCAACAATATTGTGTGATTATGGTCAACGGTAATAATAATCTACAAGTGATGGTACAGAGGGTGGGGGATTTGTACACTAATGGTTCGTGCACCCCGATTGTCACCATCATCATTTCCAACAAATTTAGAAATATGATCTATATACATTGTTGCCCTAAAATATGTGCCCGAATAAACCTAATCGATATATTTTTCATATAGTTTTCTTGGTTGAGAACTATATTAAGCTCTCTGTGGGAGGCTTGCGCCTATGTGCTTCCACAGAGCTGCCGTATTGACAGTACAAGAATGAATGAAAAGGATCTATCCTTTAAATTGTCTGCCTTGACAGTAGTTGTTCGCCGAATAAGTCAGTCGGGATACTGACGCCGCCAATGGGTATTCATCGGCATGAATCGGTGGCATAAAATACTACAACGGAAAGAACCGTAATTTGATTTTTTCTTTTAGACATAATTTCCTTGAAACGGCGAATGTGTAACCTAGTCTACCACATTATTTGACAAACTAAAGTATGTAAAAAAAAGAAATTACTACGACTGGTTTTCTTATTGCAATATCTTTTTTTATATTGGCAATTAACCCAGTAACACATATTGTTAGAATCAAATTGATTTATATGCCACATGTTCTAAATAACAGACAACTTAGCTTAAAAAAAAACAAGATTAATATAATAATAATTCGAGTCGGAAGAAAATATATTTGTGTCGCTTATTAATTTACAACTATATAAAAGAATATATCAATAAATGTGTCTCAGCTGCACGCGACGTGACCTATTACGGATGGGATGAGGACAATCACAATCGGTTACAGCTACCATAGCGCATCGTGATATTGAGCCTAGAAGACCAACGATCCCTTTTCTATAGTTTGGTCGAGTTTTTAATAATGTTCTTATGTTCACCATGCCGTCTTCATTAGCCCACATATTGCAGAAAACTCCATTTATTTCATTTTTATGTTCAAAATGAAGTGCAAACATTGTTTTAAGCATTATGTTCATCATGAAACGCTTACATCGTTGTCATCATTGTCCTATGTTCATCATGAAACGCAAACATTGTTGTCATCATTATCCTATGTTCATCATGAAACGCAAACATTGTTTTAAGCACTGTACCATGTTCATTATGAAGTGCGAACTTTGTTTTAAGCACTGTACTATGTTAAAGATGAAGTGCGAACATCGTTGTAATCATTGTCTGATGTAAAGCATGAAACCCAAACACTGTTGTCATCATTGTCCTATGTTCATCATGAAACCAGAGTATTGTTTAAAGCATTGTACTATGTTCATCATGGAACTTGAACATGGTTTTAAGCACTGTACTATGTTCATTATGAAGTACGAACAATGTTTTCATCATTGTACTATGTTCAAAATGAAGTGCGAACATCGTTGTAATCATTGTCTGATGTAAAGCATGAAACCCAAACACTGGTGTCATTGTTCTATGTTCATCATCTTAAGTTAAGCATGGAACATTGTTGTCATCGTTGTCCTATCTGCATCATGAAACCAGAGTATTGTTTTAAGAATTGTACTATGTTCATCATGGAACACGAACATTGTTTTAAGCACTGTACTATGTTCATTATGAAGTGCGAACAACGTTTTCATCATTGTACTATGTTCAAAATGAAGTGCGAACATCGTTGTAATCATTGTCTGATGTAAAGCATGAAACCCAAACACTGGTGTCATTGTTCTATGTTCATCATCTTATGTTAAGCATGGAACGCAAACATTGTTGTCATCATTGTCCTATCTTCATCATGAAACCAGAGTATTGTTTTAAGCATTTTACTATGTACAACATTACATCATGAAACACGAACAATGTTTTGAGTACGTACTTTGTCCTTAATTAAAGAAGCAATAATGGATATTTGGTTTTATAGGTTGAATTAAAAATGTTATTTACAAGTGGAATTATCGGTAATTGTAAACGTGGGAAGTAATTTCAGCAATTATTTCTGTCATCTAGAAAAAATATCAATCAAAATAGCCTTTAGTAAAACCTAGAATAATCATAATCTTATTGTTCTGATATAATCAGATTTTCACAGACCTGATTATCTTAACTATAATTTGATTCCAAATAAATAGATAGAGCTAACCACATTGAATCGACGTAGTCTGCTTTTAGAGCTGGCCGTTTTCATTGCCACTTTGTAAAACAGGGTTCAATTAAAGCGGTACAGTGTGCAAGTCAAAATGACCCCCTTTTGCAATCAAATATTTCCTTTGATAAGCAAAAATACATTTATATCCGTGATCTGCAAATCAAATCAAATTGTATATTATTCGTTAGAATTTCTGCCAAATCTAAAGGAACTAAGGTCATTGGCACGATCAATCTGAAATCAAACTTTAACTAGATTAGCCAAAACTCAAATTGCTAATGAAATAGCAGAACTATAAAAATAACATACAGAAACAAGGATAACTCGAGATTTTGAGGATCCTGCCGAGAGTTAAGACTACCACCCTCAGGGGGCGGGTACACGTAGAATCTTGGTCGGCGATTTTTGTCCAATGAAATGAAATAATCGGCGGCAATTATCAAACTGGTTTAATATTATAAAGCCTGTCGGCAACGCGATAATCTTGTCGAAGAAGATTTTACTCAGGCTTCGAGCTGGCGACAAAAATCGACGAACAAGACTGATCGTCTGATTTATCTTAGAACTCATAGTAACAAAAGAAACTACAACAGTGTTGTCATCTCCAATGAGTGCATACACCTTAATAAATATTTAAAAATAACTGAAGGACTTAAGGATCTTTAAATCTTGTTGATCAGACATATTTTATCACAATAGATCAAAGTTTAGAGATTTTATGAACTAAATCAAACAGAAACATTTATTTGACCACGAACAAGTCTTCTGACTTTCACAGTCTTTATTTAAAATCATTTCTAATCAATAGATAGCTATATTTGATTGATTTGTCAGGTATAATTATAATGGTTCAAACTTAAATATAGACCAAATGAAAGTCAACTCCACTCGGCAATTTTTGTAGAAGATAAAAAGGGAATTATGAGAACAAAACGTTCACAAACATTATGTTCATTACGAACACTTAACTTAGATCCTGTTTATCACCTTCTCCATCAACCTAAACAAACACATAATATTTGAGGAATCGAACAAAGTCTGGTTCTATTAGACGAAATCGATGCCACTTTGACCTTACTAAGTCATCTATAGAATGACAGGTGAATGACATTTATAGACGATAACAGAGAAACTAAATCGAACAGTTCTGACCATTTTTTTTTAGAACTTAGGTCATATTAGGCCGGAACGTCTGTCTCTATTCCAGTCACTGATAGCTATTTGGACATATATTATCTGGTGTAGAGACAGAAAAAATAGGCCCTGTTAAATGGGGACATTCCGCATCTCCGCAGGTGCGGGGGTTTAAAACCTATTTAGATACCTCGGATCTGCAAAACCCATGTACGTTTGGAAAGATGAATATTTTTGTAGTTCAGTCATACCATCATTTTCTCCCTACATCATTTATGTCATATCTCCGCTTCCATCGAAGTTTTTTGGCGAAACTGATCTAGCATTTGCTATTAAAAACTGCGTGTGCAGCCAAAAGTTCAAAGGTCACAGAGTTACGTGATACTAACAAACCCAAAGTTACGGCGATGCCCAACACTAATTTACAATCATCTTAAAGGTATTTCAATATTATGTTAGATAAAACGCTTCTTTTACTTCAGACTCTACTCCACCTGACAATTGTCAAAAAAACCATCAGAGGGTGGAATATGGAATGATGTTTCGGACTAGGGTCATATCAGATCACTAAAAACAGTTCTAAATTACCCACAAATAGATCATAAACAATAGATCAAATTCATATAAACTAGCTCTATACAACACGTTCTATAGAATATTATATAATATGACGTTAAATTATGTTTAAATATCATAATTAAACACAATCTATAGTCTAAATATTTGTTGAACCTGATTTGATTAATTCCAGTTATCGGAATCAGGTTTCAGATTAAAAATCCTACTTCCGGTTTCCCTTAAATCAAACCAAGACGAACCAACACAAGTTACCACCGAATTTGAAGGAAATTAGGATTTCAAATTATGGAAAACAAATGAATGTTTTCTTGTCTTCAGACGGTCTTGACAACAGCAATATTAATTTTCGCGCAATATTGTTTACTTCCGGTTGAGCACGCTGGTACAGTAAGTTGGTTGATCTATCAGACGTTGTGTTTCCTTGCAATGTATGAACAGTTCTTTACTTTCAAGATGAATATTTTAAATAAAAGTAGAGATTTAGATACATACCACCCAAGGCCAAGAATTAGCTCGTGCTTCTTGACCACCGACTATTCTGTAAGAGCCTGAAGCATTATTTGGTCTAATACCACATCCACCTTTGATATTATCTGATTTCCCTGTCTTAACTTTTCTTGGTGCTTCTGAAATTCAAGAAAATGGTGCTTAAGGACATCCTTTCAGCAGTCAGCACTTTAGTGAGATTTATGTAAATATGTGGGCAATAGCATAAACTTATTTCGACTTTAAAGTACACAATTTTGGTATATAACTCGTGTATAAGTGACGAAGGATGGGGGGTTTGCGTCTTAATATTTTTCACTAGATGGTAGAGCTCTATTTTAGCTGTGCATAAAAGTTCTCCTTCATTTCCAAGGGTACCGCGTCATTGACGATGCAGATATTGACCGGGAACAGCGGTAAGGAACGGTAAGATTTCCATTCTATGTTATCGATAACTTAAATTGATCTCTTAATTCAATGAAGTAAATATTTAGACAATCGTATTCCTTGCGACGATATGTCACGGACTGAATTGTATACGTTTACAATGGTTGCATCATTTCCATCCAAAGCGACCAGATTTACATAGTGACTGCCACAAAGTCACGCTGGCAGTTTCAAAGCAACAAATTCTGCACATGTTATGTAAGGTCGAATTCTGTACAGGTTACTAAACGTCAAATTCTGTACAGGTTACTAAACGTCAAATTCTGTATAGGCTACTTAACGTCAAATTCTGTATAGGCTACTTAACGTCAAATTCTGTACAGGGTACTTCGTCAAATTCTGTACAGGTTACGTAACGTCAAATTCTGTATAGGTTACTTAACGTCAAATTCTGTACAGGGTACTTCGTCAAATTCTGTACAGGGTACTTCGTCAAATTCTGTACAGGTTACGTAACGTCAAATTCTGTATAGGTTACTTAACGTCAAATTCTGTACAGGGTACTTCGTCAAATTCTGTACAGGCTACTTAACGTTAAATTCTGTACAGGTTATTTAATGTCAAATTCTGTACAGGATCTTTAACGTCAAATTCTGCATAGGTTATTTAACTCCTAGCAAGCAAATGGCTTGCGCCTTGCATTGGCAATGTACTCCTTATGGGACATGATGAGCTTTGGGAAGTGTTGTAAATGGTAAACAATTGCCCTGGTGAAGTTAAAATTAAAATACATACTTTCAACAGAAGAATCATTAGTGGCATTAAACACATTCGATGGTGATTTATTGGTCACTGTTTTATCTTCCGTTGGTTTGGTATTTCGAACTTTAGGAAGAGGTTTTAACATAAATCGTCTTTCACATTTTTTACCCTGCACTCGGCACCGCCGTTCTTCCTGAATTGAGCTTTTTCTGCAGATATGGGCCACCATACATTTCCTTTGGCGTTTTTGTTTACACGAACGATTACATGGGCTCCATTTCGACCATTTATCATATAATAAATCATATAATAATTGTTCAATAAAACGATTGCGACGTTTAAATCCTAACATTTTGTAAGATAATACCGAACAACGCTTCTTCGATCGGTTTTTACACATTCGTTTCTCTTTTACAAAACTGTGTCCACATTGTTCTGGAAGGCGACATCGCCTTTCCCTCGTTTGTTCACATTTTCTACTGCATTGAGTCCATTTACTCCATTCACTGTAATATTCACATAATATTGAGTTCATGTTTGATTTTTTATCAGAATGGCTGGCATGAATTGTTATATTTGAATTAAAAGGAAATTTGGGAATTTTTTTGGCTTCTGTTGTTGTCATATCATCCTGAAATAAAAAAACAATTGTGTTTTAAGCTTTATATTAGAATTGTTCTGATCTAGCTCAGAGAACCAATTTCAGCTTCAGTCGTACTAGAGTGGATTAGGGTTGTATAGTGTCTATAGCCTTAATTAATGTTTTTTTGAAGCAGTGTGAATTATCTAAAAGATGTCCTCAGAAATTCTAAGCCCACCAAAATCCAATATCATATACGACATATACAACTATGATTAGCACCATGGCAATTTTATTTATGTGGTAAGAACAATTTCAGCACAGTGCATCTTCTTTACCTTGATTGTCCCTCCAATTTTTATACATTTGACGAGGTTATGTCAAAGAAATGTCTGATGGTCGGACTGCCGGACAACTGTCTTATTTTAATGAAATTCTGAGCTGTAAAATGGAAGAATCAATGTTGAAGGTGTTATCTTTATATTTTGTCTTCCTTAACGTGACTGTATTCTAGATTAAACAGTCCTTATCTCGTCTTGAAAATTACCTTTTAATTACAGTTTTTAAATGAGCCATTACTATTGATCTTTTCGTGACAAAATGACACCAAATTCTTCGTACGGTCTGATGAAATTACCTAATTATTAACTTAGTTTGCAAAATTCCGAATCTTAGTTTTCAGTGTTAGATGGTGATGAGAACTGAAGCACTGGCCTAGGTCACAAAGTAATGATTTTTGATAAAACAAGACGCAAGTTAAAGGTTAAGATAATTAGATATGTTAACTAAGGATGTCTCTGTAATGCTATCTGTGGTAGTATCATTTCTTTAACTGAATATAACTCAGTTCAATTTGGAGGGTTTATAAGAACAAATTTAATTATGTGGTCACTTATATCATATAGGCTACTTCCAGGAACAGTGGCGGTGCCGAATTGGGAGGGGGGCAGAGGAGCCCCCTTGGCAGCCCAGAATGAAGTTTTTCGGGCCCGACTCTCTTTACTAGGTTAGAAACTCGGGCAACCTCAGATATTTGTCTCCCACCCTCGGACGTCAACCTGGCTCCGCCAATGTCCAGAAATTGTTATTCAACCTGAAATCAGAACCATCAAGGTAAATGAGAGAACACCTTATGTCAAATATTGCTACAAAAGAAATTTGATTTAATAAATTTTTTATATAATAAATATGATAGCCTATGCGCTAAATATATCTTTTATTTGATGTCTACAGTAAAGGTGATAACCGTTTGAAGTCTACGGAAACCTTTGCGATGAAAGATCTAACTTACTTCAAAGACAACACGATTTTTTCCTCGTATAAAAATGACCCTAAATCGCTTTTTAAGGAGGGCAATAGATAAACAAGTACTTTTATTTTAACTCGTCTGGATTTTCTTCAATATTCAACGGACAATTTCCAGGTAATTACTAGTAACATATACCCCGGTGACTGGACATCCGTCCATTGTGTTGTAATAATCAACTTTGTATCGTGTTTCAGATAAAACAATCTTAATCAGTACAACTGATTTCGAAATCACTCGATCTTTTGTGTTTATAGGTTCAGAGACAGTTAATGTATTTTTTGAAAATAAACGATGAGAGCATGGAAATGATTTTAACAGGAAAACTGGAAAACATTTCTCTCCATAGATTTTTTTTCTGCCATTAAATTCCTCCAGATAATCGCCCTATAAGAGACAAACAAGGGTAAACTTTGGCATTGGTTTATTTTGTTATATTCCCCGGGGGTATAGAATGGTCTCAACATGCTGACCTTGTATGATGTAAAATGGTAGCAGATGAGACAAAACATCTGTTGTTTTCTTCTAACCCAACTGAACTAAAACTAGGCTACCAAACCAGAAACCAAGTGTAAATAAATTTCTAAAAGTTCTTTCCTAACAGCATGATAAACTAGCATCTGAATTGTCTAAAATACTGACAAGTCTTTCTGAACTCTCTGCTAAATCAGTATAGACGATAGCTATAAGACGGCCGAATTCTAAATGCCTTCGTATATGTGCTATTTTTCTGATATATATCTGTAAAAAGCATTTTCAACGTTCACTGACTTGATCCATCCAAATCTAAACATCTAAACCTTTCTTTTTGATCGTCGCCAAACACTGGCTGTACTTAACAAGAGGGAACAGAGTTTTAAAATCAGATGATGCTATCTCGACATGCCGAGATAAGACCTTAGTTCTCATTATCAAGTGAACGCCTTAACTTACCGAATCGCATTCGCGCTTTCACCCGAGGTATTTTACCCGCGGACTGAAGGATTTACCAAGTGAATGACCAAACGTAGTCTAGTCGAGTTAACGATTAACACCAAGCTAAGTAACAAAATTAGACTTCACATATACATCTATCAATTCTTGAGTTTGCCACTTTAATGATATTTAGGTCGAGAAATCTATAAATACCACAGACAGTATTAACAACACTGATTGGTTATTGCACTCTGTTCTTATTTAACTATAGACATGATATATTATTAAAGGGAATGTTCAAGTAATTTACACACTTTAGCATCCAGGTGTCTGCCATCTTCACAATCTCAAGCTATTACGAACTCCGTCTTATACTTTGACTGTAATAGCCGCTATTCTTGTATCACAGAATGTAGCGATTTGCTTCGATTGTATGCCAACGTGTTCAGTCAATCAGAAAGACTGTCAACATTATTGCTTAATGTTCACAAATTGGCTGTATTTGCCAAAGCACAATCAATTAAATCGCATTTATAAACTTTTGTGAAAGAAAGGTGGCTATTGTAGTCAAGGTATAAAACGAAGTTCTCCAACAGTTTTATCTAATACGGCTTTCTAACGGAATAACATATAAAAATTCATTGCACGATTCTTTCTACAAAAATTGGAAGTAAAGCAAAAGAAATCACCACGTATACTCAATAGGTATCTAAGTGCAAAAAAAATAAAATAAAAACCGTAGATGTAGCGAATATTTGAGTGGCTAGGCTGCTTTTGATATTATGATCAATTCAGATACCATCATATTATGTTAATTATGATGTCATGGGTAAGAACAAATATATTACAGTCATTTCTGCGCTTTGATTTGAGATGAAACGATCGGCAGACTTTCATTTTAAAAAGCCATAGCTGATATTGGCCTCTTTTGGCTGCTAAAGCAATGGATATGACTATATCCTTTTGGCGCCTTGTGAACGCTCTAATCCTGTGAAGGACAAGATGGCTAGATAGCGTCATTTGCCATAGGCATTTTCTTTTACAGGCCAGTAGTTACAAGATAGAAGATGATGAACGATGAACGACTATTCCATTACTGCAACTAAACACCATTGCCCTTCAAAATGGTAGTCAGCGAAGCTTATTTGAAAGATATATACTTGCTTTGATGAGAGTACAATTAATGTTCTATAAGTTGGACCAACTTGAGAAGCCAAGAGAGCGTGGAATCTAATACACTGTGATGTTATACAGAAAGGTTGACGTAAGACTTTATTTCAGATATAAACATTTTATATCAAATTATATTGATACAGTTTTTATTGCCCCAAGTCTGGCAATGAAATGGTTATATCACATCAGGAAGAATTCCATTGAACTAGAATTTTATGTCAAGGTCACTTTTTATGATCTATGCCCTTTGGTGCCGTCTGTGTTATAGGTTACATTTCTTCCACTCATCAGGAAGTCTTCCGGCTTTAAAAACAAAACAACGGTGATTCTATCTTTGATACCCTACTGAATTGCAAGATATTGAAGTAGAAGGTTTAGAGTACAAGTTTGGGCTATTTATAAGGAAATATCTTGATTGAAGAAAAAGGAGGTGGGGAGATATTTCTCAATTTCTCCACATCGAACTCCAACAAAAATTCGCTTTCCTGTGCATTTATGTCACCATGTTTCCGACAATTGTGAAGTTGAATACTATGAAAGTTTTTTTTTTTAAATCAAAGAAATACTGTTTATCGAATCATTCCTGCTCATACTGATCAACGACATACCATGACAACTTCCCTTCTCTTTTGGCCAATTTCAACAAGAACATTGGCTTCTTCTGTACTAAGTCCATCTAGACCACCCGAAACTTGACAAAAGACACTTTTCAGACCCGAACGTTGAGTCTGTGGAAACCCTTGACGCAATTATCGTCTTCATGATTCTTTGTAGAAATCCTCGACAATTTTAATTTTCTCTCGCTTAATTGATTGGTGAATGTCTTAACATTATCTGTGGTCTATTCTGTTATATTCTTATAGCTAATACCTTATTTAGTGGACTGGAATAGGAAAGTTGACTTATTCAAGATAGCTTGCTAGGTAAGATAATATACGTCCACTGGCAGCTTTGGTTTTGAAAAAACATATTTGGCACAACAGATACAATCACCAGTATATTCAATCTTCAGTCAATCACTTCTTTTGAACTTTTTGAGATAATAATGAATAATATTACCAAGTTTTGTTAAAATCGGTGAAGAATTGGGCCTTTAGAATGTTTACGAGCTTATAATTGAATGCGTTTTCAAAAAAAAGTTTTGTCAAAATCGGATAAGAATTGTGCCTTCTATAGTGTTAACGATTAATTATAGTGGGCGGACGTACGTGACAGCAATATACGCTCCTATTTATGTTGGTGTATAAAATGTAAGGGTGACATATAATAAAATTAGCCCGAAACACACGAAACTCACTTCCGTAATTACCATCATGGAATAGTAATAGGGGATATTCATGGTGAGCAAGTACGGAATGGCCATGAAAACTACCTTAACGCACAGATTTCTGATCTGAAAATAACCGAGGAGGCTTACAACACCTTGCCATTGGAGAAAAAGAATATCCCCAAATATCTTACCTTCCGTCCCTGAATGTACACTCACCGAAATACTTAGCGGATGGAGCCTGGTAGAGTCAGCACCAACGTAGGCGGTAATATAAGATAAGTTTTCTCCGCG